CCTACAATATCTCGTCGATTGGGAAGGCTACGGTCCGGAGGAGCGCTCGTGGGTTTCGGAGAAGGATATTCTGGGCCCCGACCTCATCCAAGACTTCCACCTTAACTTCCCGGATCGGAGGGGGGGGTAATGTTACGATCCCTGCCTCTCGGCAACGGAGGAGGCAGAAGTAGGCGTAGCCCCTATCCATCAGTTCACCTATCAGTTTTCCCATTCACCACCACACCCCCGTCTCATCCTACTTAAACATCTGTCCTTTTTCCCTTTGGACTTCGGCTTTTCGGATCTCGGCTTGGATTGGTTACTTTCGCTCCTGCAAGTGGGTTCACTCACTGGTTTGGTCCCTATTACCGAACCCATAACATGGGGAGGAGGAGACGGCCAGCGCGGCGATGCTGGTGGAGCGACGACAGCTGGTCATCTGCCACCACTGTGGGGAGAGGGGGCACATCGCCCGGGAGTGCCGGGCACTGGATCCCCGGGGACTCCGGAGGCCGTCGGGAAACAGGAGCGGGGCGGCCTAAAGGGGGGAAGGCCGCCCTTGAGCGACGCGACCCCTGCTCCGGAAAGCCAGAGGGAACGCTTCACCCCGCCTGCTGCCGAGGGAAGGGTTGGCCACAGCCGGGGCTTATTTCTTCCCTACCTCATCAAGGGCAGACCCTGCCAGCTTGTCGACACCGGTTCGACCATCACCCTGCTGCGGGCTGATATCCTGCCGGGCACCGAGGCAGCCGGACCCCCAGGGCGCTCACCGTGCACTTTGGGGCTGCGAGGGTGAAACACCCCTTCTACCTTGCCCCAGTCCGCGAGGACTGTATCCTGGGGTTAGACTGGCTGCAGCAAGTGACCTCGCCGCTGGAGGGCACCCGCCACCCCCGGCGCAGCACCCTGTCCCTCACGCTCAGGTCAAGGCAACCACCCACTTGCTGCGTGTCAAAAGAAGCGATACACAACCTGTCCCCTCTATAACTCCAGAGCCTCACAACATTGTCCGATAATACTCTTCTTGTGTCTAATTTTTAGTTAAGCAGGATTTGAGCTACAGACCATAACAGACCAAAAAACAGAATCCACCTGCGGGTGTTAACAAAACGTGCTTACAAAGAAAGATTCGGGTGTTAACAAAACGTGCTTACAAAGAAAGATTCGGGTGTTAACAAAACGTGCTTACAAAGAAAGTGAAATACACTAATACTACCAGCTATATAGATACATAGATTTAGAAATTTAGATCCTTAAATTAATATCATGATTAATTTATTTAGATATGTGCTTACATATTCTCGATTATAGAACAGATAATTGCGGTCCTGGAATCTGACTAGCTGACACCCTTCTGAATAATCTCTGGTATACGGATGCCCCTGAAATTTGACTTGTTAC